TGTCTACAGGCCTACCTCGACCTGTAGTACCCTCATCCTATNGAGATTTTACCCTATATGCGGACCATAAGCCTCTTACATATGCTTTGCATACTAAGTCTGACCGTTACTCACCTCGAGAAACCAGACATTTAGACTATATTTCACAGTTCACGACTGACATTCAGCATGTCCAGGGCAAGTCGAATTGTGTTGCGGAGGCTTTATCACGTATTCAAGTTATTGCGATAAAGTCCCCCTTAGATATCAGTGCTATGGCTGATGCCCACGTAAATGATTCATCTTGCAAAGAGACGGTCCATTCAACTTCCTTTAGATGTCAGGCGATAACCTTTAACGACTACTAATGGTACCATCTTATGTGACATGTCTACAGGCCTACCTCGACCTGTAGTACCCTCATCCTATCGTCGTTTATTTTTCGACACCCTACATGGTTTATCACACCCAGGCATCGCAGCAACACTTCGACTGATTGCTGCACGATACGTCTGGCCATCCATGAATAAGGGCGTTCGAATATGGGCTAAACAGTGTTTACAATGTCAACGATCCAAAGTGCACAGGCACGTAGCTGCACCTATCGGTACGTTTGCTACCCCTGATGCTCGCTTTGATCACGTTCACATCGATATTGTAGGCCCATTATCACCGTCACACGGGTATACTCATTTATTCACGTATATTGACAGGTTCACTAGATGGCCGGATGCTATTCCCATCTCTACTTTCACGGCCGGAGCAGTGGCTCGACATTTCCTAGAACGATGGATAGCACTCTACGGTTGTGCCTCTACTGTCACGACCGACAGAGGAGCCCAATTTTAATCAGAATTATTCACTTCGTTAGCACAATTGTTGGGTACGGAACGCATCCGCACAACTGCTTACCATCCAGCATCTAACGGTCTAGTCGAACGTTTTCACCGTCAACTTAAGGGTGCCTTTCGGGCACACGAGAACCTTAATTGGTACGAGACGTTACCTCTTGTTCTGTTACGCATCAGAACATGAGTCAAGGCAGATATCAAATGTATAGCTACTGAGCTGGTTTTCGGCACTACATTACGACTGCCTGGAGAATTTTTCATGCCACGCAACATGGATTCCATTGGAATACAGGACTACGTGCAACGTTTGTCTGCGTTTATGCAATCCCTGTCTCCGGCACAAACTTGAATACAGCAACGGAAGTTGTTCATACCCACTGAACTCCTAACCTCAGAGTAGGGCTCGCAGATAGCAGTAACTGCTACGATTTCGAATGAGGCAACTGTCTCACGTTCAAATCAACATTGTGCGAATACCTTATCAGACCAGGACGAGACATCAGTCTCACGTTGAGGTCGAAGGATTGTTTTGTCTGCCCGTCTACGGGATTGAGCAGAACACGATCCACACAAGCGTATAACGTCAGCAATACCTATTACGACTTATATCACGAGATGCCTTATCTGGATATTTGTTTTGTATGCTCAACGATTGTTTATGATTGATGCAGCAATTTTGGACGTTAGGACGCTACACCGGTTTTCTCCGACAATCTTTCACTTCCAGAGATCAGGCCATACGAAACGCACATTGGTTGCCTCGAGGTTCAACGAGAATTTTGGCACCCTCTCGCACGATCGTGACCCCTCTGGATCTCAAAAGTTTGTTGGAGACGATTTACGTTTCTAAGGATTGCACACATGAACAACAAGTGGTCTTCTTTCATTCTGGCACGCCAAAGATCACGGACGCTGGAAACGACGAGAGCCACCTGATACCATGATACAACTAACGATTTGGATGGTGTGAATCATCCAACGACCGATTGAGGATACGTCACTATGGTTCCCATGCTGACATCCGATGCAACCAATCTGGTTGATGTTCGACTGACGC